TTTGCGCATTGACAATAACAATCAGCCCATCATCGTCGTCAATCATCCCCTTCTTTTCAGCGAAGTATGGGACAGATAAACATCACATTAGCGTGATTCCAAGCCGATTAGCTTAGTTAAGCCGGAGTCTGAACCTGAACTCCGCTGAAGTTGCTTATTCATTGACAGCTACAGCTGAAAATCTGCTACCTCACCGTTACTCAATGCTTAGAATTATTCCCCCGTGAGTAATAAGTACACTCCCACTGGGTGGTGGTGAAGCATAAGCATAATAAGTCCGAATATATTTGATGGTCAAAACATATTCATATTTGTACACGTAAAGAAAAACAGCTTGAAAAAAGGATTAGAAGCTCATATTTAATGTATGTGAAAATAGACCACTAACGTCATTTGCATTTTACAGAGTTTGCAAAGAAGTTAATATTGGCACACCGAACATTTTTTTATCGAATTTTGCTAAAATTTTAAACGTATTACTGAAACCATATACAAATATACACACCCATGATTTGCGAACAATCCGTTCTCCTTTTTTTTCTCACATTTTGAACGTTTGTTCTTAAATCTTCCTAATTCAACACCAATATGTTCTAAAAGGGACCCATTCGTTCAAAGCATGCCAAATATTGCGGTCAAATTTTATGAACAAGCGTTCATAAACTGACAAAAAATGGGGCTTACGCACTTGTTGACCCCGTTTGGGCTTGATTTTTGAACGTTTTCGTTTTTCGAACGAAAAAATAACGCTCAAAAAATAGTCATTATTTTTTGATCGATATTTTTTTTGCTCACAATAACAATAATTATTCTTTGAGCGATTGAAAAAAACTCAACAAATAATTATTAAAATGGAGTAAAATGTATAAAAATCAAGAAGTAAAAGATCATTGCGGATATGGATAGAGCACACAAATAGTAGCCGATTGGTATAATTCGTTTGTTTGTACGGCTTTTCCAAGTGGATGATTTTTTTGCTTGAAAAATACATCGATAATTTTGATACCTTTTGATAGGTTACTCATTATGATCGGACCATCACAGCAGATTTTCATTTTTCCGTGTATAATCATTTTAGCTTAAAACAAGAGAGAACGCTATAGTCGGGTTGTTGTCCCGACTATCTAATACCCGTCACTCAGCTAAAGGGAGTGCGAACGCTGTGTCGGGTTGGTGTCCCGACTAATAATCGTAACTCAGCTAAAGGGAGTGCGAGGGAGATAGATATATAATTTTTGATTGCGTATAACTTTTTAATGAATGGTCCGATTTGAAAAATGTCTTCTACATTTCGATAGGTATAAATATACACAACAAAATTGCATTTATACTTCTCGGAAATCTTTAAAGATGTGGGCGCGGGACCCATTTTAAAATCGTTAGTGGGCGATTGTGGGCGTTAGAGGGGGCGTGGCGCTCGGCTAAAAATAAAAAAAATAAAACTTGCGCTGCGTAGGAAGCCAAAGAATATGTGTGGGAAATCTCAACCTTCTAGCTTTTGTAGTTTCTGAGATCTCAGCGTTCATACAGACGGACAGACAGACAGACAGACAGACGGACAGACGGACATGGCTAGATCGACTCGGCTAGTGACCCTGATCAAGAATATATATACTTTATGGGGTCGGAAACGCTTCCTTCTAGCTGTTACATACTTTTGCACGAATCTAGTATACCCTTTTACTCTACGAGTAACGGGTATAATTACATGTAGGCGTGCCACATAACTTGTTTTTCCGCCTCTTTTTATTTAGCAGTGTGTCACGAACAATATAACTCCCACAAATCGCAAAATACTGAACTTTATCACTGTGGACGGCAGTCCAGGTAGTGACGAAGCGAACCAGGAGAGTGTGCGAAGGCGAATACTCTATATGAAAATCTGCTGTGATGGTCAGATCATAATGAGTGATACACCTAACCAAAGGTATCACAAAAACTAAGAGGATTGCATACCAAGGCTTTAAGAAAATCAATTGGCTTGAGAGAGAGAGAGAAAGCGGTGAAAAAATAAATGCCCCCTCCTATAGTTTTAGTTGTGTTCCTATTGAAAATACGCGTCGAATGAGGGGTCATATGATAAAATCCGATGCACCGTTTAAAAGTTATACCCAAAAAAAGCATCGATTTTTTTAAAAACAATTTTCTTGTAGATTAACATTTTAGATTATACAAAAAAGTTTTAAGTCAATCGGACAAAAACTTTAGAAGTTATGCTAAAACTAGTACCCTAACCTCTAAGGCCTTTGGTACATGAGTGAATCTTTAAGTGCGTTTTTCTCGAAACCACTTTTCGAAAGTCTGTGTTCATCAGCATTTCTAAACGGCTCAACCGATCGTTTTCAAATTTGTCGCATATTTTTCTGCATAAAAAAAACCCGCCCCTGGGAAGCATTTTTTTTTTTATTTTTTAACTTTAAATATTGTATTTTTAAGCCGAAAGTCAAGATTTTTAGGTGAAAAGCGCATTTTTGACTTTGGACTTTCGAAAAAAATTGTAAAAAATAAAAAAATTAAAAAAAGGGCTTCCCAGGGGGCGGGTTTCTTTTATTCTTAAGCGAAATGTAAAAACAACATGGAAATCCGATCATTTTTAGCGGAGGTACAGTGAACACCGCAAACCGCCTTTTTTTAATAGTGGTCCAGCAATCGCTTTGCCACCGATATATTCGCCGATAGTATCGGCTATAAAAATTAGTGGATGATATTTAAATGACACTTAATAATATACAAAAGGTTTGAATTAAATCCATTCAACCAGTTTTTATAGAAAAAATCGAAAAGATAGTCGATTTTTTGGTGCCAAAGACCCTACCTCCCCCTTAAGGGATTCCGAAGGAGAATGATATGTATAAAACTTTGATCGCGCATAACTTTTTAACGGTTTGAAACATTTCTTCTACATTTCGATAGGTAATAATAAACACTGTAAAATTTCATTTATACATTTTTAAAATCCTTAAAGATGTGGCCGCCAGACGTGGCGCTCGGGTGAAATAAACTTGCGCTTTCTAGCTTTTGTAGTTTCCGAGATCTCAGCGGACAGACAGACGGACAGGGCTAGATCGACTCAGCTAGTGATCATAGTTACATACTTTTGCACGAATAAAATATATTTTACTCTACGAGTAACGTGTATACAAATATAATGGCCGTTATGTTTCAATCCTCTATCGAAAAAAAAGTTTAGATTTTTTCTGAGATTTGACCTGTCACGTTTCACATAGAATGAGCCATGTGCTAAAAATATTGAGTATTCATACTTGTGAGTCTCAATTGAAAAACTTTGAAAGTTAAATTTATACGTTATATTTACTTTCTAGGGTCAAAGGGTCAATAATGTCTTTAAATGTGAAGAATTCAGTTCTTTACTGAAATTATAGCACCCCTTGCAAGGGTAAACCAAGAATAGATTTTCTTCCTTTAACCAAGCATCAGGGACTGTAGGAAAGTCACGTATTACATCTAAGGTGGCTGTTGACAAATTACCATGTACAAATTAAAATAAGTAGTCACGTAATCCGAAAATTCAAAGTTTTCAATAAACCACTCAGAGTTGCCTCGAATACAATCGACTTTTTTGTAAAATACATTGTATATTGTTTTATTATTTAGATTTATACAAATGTGCACCTAGCGAACATTTTATCTTCTACAATACCTATTATGATTGTAATATTTGTACATTAAATTCCATTTTTATTTGATTTTCCTCAACGTCTGAATAGGCTCTTATTATTCTTTTATACGGCACTGTGACGCTTTGTATGTAAGTCCTAGTTGGTGCTTTCAGTTTCTTTCATCATTTGCGCAGGTTTGAATAGCCTTTGTATTGTTCTCTCCATTCAGGACTCTAACAATAAGCTTTTCTTTCCAATGGCTTGTACTTTCTCCCTTAACTTACTGCTGTTCTCGTTTACGGTGGTCTTCAAATAAGGCTGTATCCACTGACTTGTTCTTGCCACTTTTACGTTGGTATTTAAGAAAGTATAAAGTAAGGGTCTTTCATTATTTGGCGTTAGACTTATGTGTTTAGGTGATATATTTAGGAGTGAGCGGCATAGGAAACGAACTACCCCTATGCAGAATCGTATCTTTAGTTAAACCAAATGGTATCACTGTGGACGGCTGTCCACGTAGTGATGATTCGCAGCGGAAGTCTGCGGGAGAAGACTACTGCAAATATAAGTATATATGGGACGCTTCATATCAAAGGCGTTTCTTTAAGTGCACCGTTCCTGTGTATATGATATAATTCCTGTGTATATGATATAATTATCTGATTTTTTAAATATTTAATTCGAAATTCAAAAATTTTACAAAACTCATATTCTTAAGAGTAGAAGGTAATATTTCAAAAAACACCGAAGATTGAATTTTTTTAAACTTTTTTTCCGATTCTTCCTATTGGAGCTATAAGATATAGTTGTCCGATCTGGTCGTTTCCGACGTATATACTATCTGCAATAGAAAGAAGACTTTTGGGAATGTTTCATCCCGATAGCTAAAAACTGAGAGACTAGTTTTGCGTAGAAACAGACGGGCAGACGGACATGGCTAGATCGACTCGTCTAGTTATGATGATCAAGAATATATTTACTTTATGGGGTCGGAAACGTCTCCTTCACTGCGTTGCAAAGATCTGACTGAAATCATTATACCCTCTGCAAGGGTATAAATATATCATCCATCGAAGTAAATTTTTTATGTTGCATAGTGTTATTAATGCCTGCTATAGCTATTATCGGAACGACCTGCACGGGTATAAGCAATAACTTATATAAGTAATAACTTAACTTAATAAAGTTCGTGCCAGCGATATTGCATTATCGACTTCAGATTTAGAACGCACCGTTATTTGGTCTTGTGATTTAGGCATCCATTTAATATCTAAGATAGTTATTTTCGATCTTCACCTTCAACTTAAACTTAAAACGTTTTTATATGAAAACGGCACCTAAAACGTTTTATAATTTTCTCTGTGAAGGGATGAGACTCACCTGACTTAGTAATCGACTTCGTATTAGTTGAAGTTGTTTAATCATCTCTAGATCGGATTGTTCCTTCTCATTCGTTTGATCTTCTCCAGGAGGCGGCATATCGGCATATCGGCGGTCTCTGTAAAAATTGTTTCCAAAAATTGCTAATTAAAAGAGGCTCTTAGCTCTTAGATCGGGACAAAAGTTTAACATTTAAGGGGTATATAACGTATACATAATCGAAATAAGAAATTTTAACAACGTTTTCGGTATATTTGTTGTCTAAAATATATTATAGAAAGATGTAAGAGTAGTGTGATTTTAAATTTTAAAAAATGGGTTATGGGATGGCGTGGATTCACGGGGGGTGATATGGGTGATATATCACCCCCCTTTCGGTTTAAAAATAAATATAATTTTGGTATTCAAAAAGTATGCAACATGAAAATTGTTCTGATATCACCCCCCACAACAATATCCTAGATCCGCCACTGGGGTGAACCCATACATTTTGTAGCTTTTAGCCATTTCATCAGTGTATGTATCTCTAATCTAAGCCTTCCTGTTGTGTGGCCATCCACATTGTGCTAATTATTCCCTAAGGACTGAAAATTTGAACAAGCTTCCTTTTTTTGATTGGCAATCTAATCTAATTCCATTACACCCGGTCATCGAAACTACCGAAAACGTTGATGAGAGTATTCTGGTTTGAGGGATTGGATAGCAACCTTCTGTACATGCGCACAAAACTTTTACATTTTTAATGCTCCTTTTAATTTTATTTTTATCTACCCACGTTTACTAGCAAAGCACTGCATTAGTAAATTATGCAATGAAAATATATGTATGAACATTTAAAAGGGAATAATACCACAACTTTTCTTAGACAATTGAAAATATGCCTAAGCAAGAAAAAAAAAGCAAGCAGAAGTTTATATACATTTCAGGTAATTGATACCATATAGAATAAGGAAGAAAGGATTTGGCGTTGTTGGCAGTGTTAGTTTAGTTTTAATACAATGTTTTCAAATCCTTTAGGAAAGAAGCAAAGACCTCTAGATAATTATTTTGTACTTATCACTATGGACGGCAGTCCATGTAGTGACGAAGCGCACCAGGAGAGTGTGCGAAGGCGACTACTATATATACACGAAGAAATGAAAATCTGCTGTGATAGTCAGATCGTAATGAGTAATACACCAATCGAAAGGTATTGCAAAAACTTAAAGGATTGCATACCAAGACTTTAAGAAAATCAATTGGATTGGGAGAGAGAGCGGTGAAAGTGAAAAAGTAAAAATTTAGAAATTTGGAGCTGTTGGGGCCGGTGGGGATAAATGCCCCCTCGCAATGATTTACTTGTATTCCTTTTGAAAATACCCGTCGAATGAGGGGTCATTTGTCAAAATCCGACGCTCCGTTCAAAAGTTATAGCCAAAATAAGATTTTCTTCTTCTTCCCAAAATGAAAATTTAATTCTGTTTGTCAGTTTGTCCACTTGTCCACTTGTCCACTTGTCCACTTGTCCACTTGTCCAAAACATGTTTTTTAAGTTCTGAAAATTTGATATGACGTTCATCACATCGATATAAAAAACTTTTGTTCTACCACTTTTGGAAAAACTCGCTAGTTTAGCGGGAAAACAGCTATAAATAGCTAAAATTCGGAAAGCCGTAACTTCTATACTACTAAAGCTACAGACTTGTGCTGCATCTCGTTTGAAAGGTATTTTGAAATGTTATAAACGCCTTCTATATGCAATTTGTGTAAATGTAATAGTTAAAAAAATATGAACAAAAGACAATTTTTTAAAACTTTTTTTTAGCTTTTTTTATTTTTCTCAAAAACGGCTCTAACGATTTTCTTTAAAACCTTAAACTGTATAGCCCTTGAGATTCCTTAAATTTTGGTATATAACACATTACTGTAAAAAGTCACGTTTAATAGTTATTTTTATACGAAAATAGCCACTGTTGCCAGCTCGAACAATTAACGCTCCCTGAGTATTGAATTTTGTGGGAGGGTATCCGAACTGTATTTTAGGGTCATGGAATCAGTAAATTTGCACTTAAGAGTTCCATATAGGAATCTTTTGTTCTACGACTTTTGGAAAAAGCCGCTACTTTAGCGGGAAAGAGCTAAAAATAGCTAAATTTCGTTAGTTTGTAAGTTCTACACTACTAAAGGTACAGACATGTGCTATACCTCGTTTAAAAGGTATTTTGAAATACTTCAACGCCTTTTTAACTCAATTTGTTAAAATACAATAGTTTAAAAATTATGATTGACCAATTTAAATTTAAATGTATATATTAGCTTCTATGAGAGCAAAAGTAAGCAAACAAAAACTTCTGATATCAAATAAAAACACCTCTTAACGAGGTAAAAAACTAGTGACGACCGCACCTTCAACATACAAAAGTTCTGATATCAACATTTGTGACGAAAAATTATTACACTCGTCATTAAATAGACTTTCTAATATTTTCTCATTCGGCACGCTGCAATAGAAAATGCCTGTGAAGGGAAAAAGGTTGGAATAGTTTGCTAGGGCGGGCCGAATGAGAAAATATTAGAAAGTCTATTTAATGACGAGTGTAATAATTTTTCGTCACAAATGTTGATATCAGAACTTTTGTATGTTGAAGGTGCGGTCGTCACTAGTTTTTTACCTCGTTAAGAGGTGTTTTTATTTGATTAGTTTTAACACTTTTCTCTTTCGATCTTTATTTCAATCGTTCTCTAGCTATGAACGGTACATTTACACGCATTTGCACGAACGATTCGTTTTTTTATACAACTTTTCCAAAACTCAATATTTTTCAAGAGTGTAAAAGCAAAAAGTTGTTTACATCTACTAAGCATATTTCTGTAAAAGTAAGATTAGAAAATCCAACGGAGTTAAATCCCACAGCGTTTGCATTGTTTAAAATTCTTTTTTTTTAAAGTAATTTCCCCAGAAATCATTATTTTTTGAAAGTGTAAAAGAAAAACGTTGCTTACATCTGAGCATATTTTTGTAAAAGTAAGATTAGAAATTACAACGAAGTCAAATCCCACAGCATTTGGCGTGAACCATCCTTTTCAACTGACGGCACAACTAAAAACAATACAAAACAAGAAGGGAAGCTAGCTTCGGCCAGCCGAAGCTTATATACCCTTGCAGACAAAGTAAATACCTATAGAACAATGCTCTTTCTATCGGTGCAAATCCAGGGATTTGCTTATTCAAAATGTTGTTTTTAAGTTGTCAAAAATCTTCCTACAAATTTTTCAAATTTTCTTATATTTGTTTGATTATTCCTATGTGAGCCTTAAGATACACTAGTCCGATCCGGCTCGCTCCGACAAATGTACTACCTGCAATAGAAAGAAGACTTTTGGGAAAGTTTCATTGCGATAGCTTTAAAACTGAGAGACTAGTTCGCATAGAAACGAACAGACGGACATGGCTAGATGGACTCGGCTATTGATGCTGATCAAGAATATTTATACTTTATATATACTCCTTCACTGCGTTGCAAATTTTTTAAGGGTATAAAAACACTGAAGCTAGAATTTGTTTAACGTAATTATACCCTTGCAGAGAGTATTATGATTTCAGTTAGAAGTTTGCAACGCAGTGAAGGAGACGTTTCCGACCCCATAAAGTATATACCCACATGAACATTCGACGACTATTTCTTCTAAAGTATTGGTCCAATTAACTTGCAACTTTGGGAGTGTAATCTAGACAACTTTAACTTATTGAAAAAGAATAAAACATAGATTTCTTTAAAACCATATGTAACTCCCTAAAAATACGTGGACGAACTTTTTATAAATGTTAAATCTGCAAAATGTAACTATAATTTATATTCGGTATTAGACGCACGACAAACCCACACAAGTTCTGTCCCATACACTAGATTCAGCACTGCCGTGCCCTTCAAGAACAAATGATTGTTTTCCCTATTCGCTTTGAACTGAACATTTTATTTATAATGATGACTTCCGCTCACTGCGACTCCATCCGCAAGAGGCATAGTGATGTTGTGCCGTATCCCTTTATATATATGAACACATTCGCCGGCTATGTGGATGTGGATTCTCATACACTTGTAGACACAAATATTGACTTGTACACTTACAAATAGCTTCCGCAAATTTACTTCAATGGATTGCTCTCCTTTAGATAGTCTTTTGCTCGTTCGTGTCCGTATTTAAATATCAATATTTATAGACGCCTAAATATATGAAAACGAGTGTATCTTTAAAAATTACACCCTCAATAGTTGTTGTACTTTCTTATTCCCAAACAGCAACGCGAAGCAAAGAGCAAGTAACAGGAACCGAAAATAAGACATAAATAAATACAAAATTAGTTTCGGCAAGTGCAAACAAAGTGGATAACGGATGTTATTGGGAAATGTCCCACCCGTTTTTCAAAAAGTTAGGACTTTGCAAATGTGTCCAAGTACATTTTTTCTAATTTTGAGGGAATACTCTATATAAAACAAAAACACCTCTTACCGATGCACCAACGACATACAAAAAACAGAGTGGTTAACATATTAAATTACCTTTTCAACGCGGTATAGCACGAGTCGGTAGCTGAAGTCGTTTAGAAATTATAAGCCTTCAAAATCTAGATATTTATACCCTTGCAGAGGGTATTATGATTTCAGTCAGAAGTTTGCAACGCAGTGAAGGAGATGTTTGTGACCCCATAACGTATATATATTTTTGATCAGAATTACTAGACGAGTCGATCTAGCCCTGTCCGTCTGTCCGTCCGTTTCTACGCAAAAAAAACTTTCCCAAAAGTCTTATTTCCATTGCAGGTAATATATAAGTCGGAACTTCAAAGGTGGGACTTCATTTTCTATTATTTAAAGGCAAATTGCCCTAAAAATGAGACAAATTAAAAAAAATATTTAGTAATGCTTGGATACATTTTGGGAGGCATGCTTAATCGTGAATTTCTGGGAACTGTAAAATCATATCTGTAAACGAATTAGGGAAATAAACATGGGCAGAAAAAACAACTTACTTTTGATCACTGTCAGGAATCGAACCTACAACCACTCGGGTTGGAGTCTTACGCCCTACCGCTGCACCACAGTCCAATCGCGCAAAGCGACGCAAAAACCCTAAGGT